TTCTACAGTAAGTTTTTCCTAATCCCTCTAAATTCTAGTGCCTTCCCTATGAGATGCAGCCAATTGATCCAATCTAGAGCTTGTTTATAAATAGGTGTTTGCATGTTTTCTCTCCCATTAGACCATGGACTCCCTGAGGCCAGGGACTATTTTCACCTTTCTTTGTAGCCCCACTTAGCACAGGGATACAAAGAAAGGCAAAAACATGATTTGTGTCATAAAGGAAGCCATATTCTAACGGAGGAGACCACATGCAAACAGCTATGTGTGTACAAGAAGATTATACTCGCCCAAAGCTTATAGGCTTGAGAAAGCCTCATATGAGTTCATAGTTACTGTCATTTCCATTGAGTTACTTCTGAGGTTAATAATGGAAAACTCCACCTTTTAGCTTTTCCCTTCAGTTGTATGACATTTTCTCTTCTTTCAGATGACTTGAAAATTGTTCCCTCAGAGCTTCCACAATGGTGTTGCCTCCAGGAGGATTGCAGCCCTTGCATACTTAGATTTCTCCATTTGCTCTTCCTGACTGTATTTTCTTCAGCTTCTTATTATAGCACATCTAGGACAAAAGTGTTGAAATTCAAATGTGGTTGTTCCCCAGTCATTAATTATAAAGATAGATCATTATGGAAACACTGAGAGATGTGTTCCTTTTGGAGGAGGGAAGGGGACTTTCTTCTGTTCTCCTAGCTTTAAGGTGTTCCACTTGAAGGCGATTGAGAGACTTTCATTCTCTTAGTTTTATTTCTAAATGCTCTTGTAGTGAGCTGGCTTAGCTGGAGGCTGTGTCCAGTTTTCTTCATACACGTTTTCCTCTACCTCTTCACAGTTCTGTAATGTGATCTTGCTTATAATCTACCATCATCCTCTATAAGGTTTTACATATGAGTTTATATTTTAAATTGGTTTTACCCTTCATTGCTTGGTCTCTATATGGCAGAGAATTCAAGTGTTTGCTGGTTAAAACAGTTCTGGGGTTCTTTGGTCTCCTTATTATGACCATTGCTTTAAAGCACTTAAACTCCTGAAGGACGTGGTAATAATTCGAATCAATGACTTTTCATATGTCCATTTCAAATTTTTTTTATTGGCTTAATTTCTTATCAGTAGTTTACTTTAGTAGATAAGCTTGAAACTGTTGTAATCATTTGGCATTTACATAAAATAACTACTATGCAGAACTGAGAGCTCAGTTACAGTTGGGCAGTAGAAAGAGAAAGCAGGTGGTTAACATTACCCAGTTTTAGGAAAAGGGTAAAGACATTAAAGGACAACAGATATCATTGTAGAAGTTTGTTCAATTCACAAGAAGCCACATTTTTGAGGAAATGTCCAACTTCTATGGAGAAAGTTAGAATGCATTGTTAGAATTACTAGTATTAGTATTCTATTATAGATAGTTGTAGCTGGCATATAAAGCATATGTATATCCATCCTATAAATTGCATTTACAGCATGAGATTCTTATTTTCATGAAAAAAAAACATAAATAACTTTGAAAAGTACATAAGCCAACTGATGCTGAGTGAAGTGAACAGAACCAGGAAAACACTGTACATAGTAACAGCAACACTGTGCAATGACCAACTTTGTTAGACTTAGCTTTTCTGAGCAATGCAATCTTCTAAGAAAATTCCAAAAGACTGATGATGGAAAATGCTATCCACATCCAGAGAAAGAATTCTGTTGTCTGGATGCAGATTGAAACACTATTTTCTCTTTTGTTGTTGTTGGGTTTTTTTATTTTTCTTTCTCATGGTTTTTTCCCTTTTGTTCTGATTCTTCTATCACAACATGACTAATGTGGAAATACATTTAATATGATCACACAAGTATAGCCTATATCAGATTTCATGCTGTCTTGGGGGGGTAGGAGTAAAAGGAATGGGGGAAGAAATTTAGCACTCAAAATCTTACAAAAGCAAATGCTGAAAACTAAAAATAAAATATTTTAAGTGCATAAACCTCAAAAACCTACTTCATCCAGTGTCTTCGATATCCTTCCCAGATTCACATCATCTATACATTTCATATATCTTCTATTCCTTCATCTAAATCATTGGTAAAAGTTTGTTAAATTACAGATGGCAAAGCTCAGATCTCTGGGGCCCCCTCCTGGAGACCCTCTTCCAAGGTGCCATCAACCATTATCTTCTGCTTTGGTCCAACCTTTCACACAGTTCCAAACCACCTGGTTGCACCATTTTCTAGCCCAAATGTGTCCAACACACTATTTTCAACTCACTTGGGGGCACAGTACTCCCTGGAGAACACACAGGATTAAAAGTAATTAGAAATATTTAATAAAATAAATAAAAATCCAATAAAACATAGATAATGTTACTTTGTGGTCTTCTCAGTCAATGTGCAGCATGCAGGGATCCTTATGTATAATTTAGTGGCCCCTGTTTCTATTTGAGTTTAACACCATTGATCTGGCACACATCTCTATAGCTTTCCCACAAAGAATAGCTCCTCACATATTTTCAAATGCTTTGCTAAAATATAGGTAAATTATATCTATAGCATTCCTATGACCCACCGTTCTTTTAACTTCATCCAAAAAGGAAGTGAGATTAGTCTGGTATGATATATATGTGTGTGTATGTGTGTGAGTATTTAATAATGTTTAAAACGGTAATTCTATCCCATGATCCCTTTAATATGTCTTAGAATATTGCCTGGAACTGAAGTTAAATCCCTCAGGCTACAGCAGACTTCATTCTTTTCTCACATTTGAAAAACGAGACATTTGCCCTTCTCCAATCCTGCTGGACCTTTTTCCATTCTCCAGGATCTTTTATCATTGAAGTGGCTCAGAATCCCATCTTCCAGTTTTGTTTTGTTTTTTTCAATAGGCATATTACCTGTACTTTATACATGCTTGTATAGGTATCTCAGGCAATGTTTGATGGCTGGTACCTTTCTTGAATTTTGTATCTTGGGAATTTCTGGGATTGTCTACTACTAATATTCTTCTTCCCTCATCATAGATACTGTTTAGGTAGGGTATCTAACATGATTGATGTCAGCAGGTGGTTTTCTACCTCCTCCATCCTTTTCAGTTTAAAGCCTATATTATAGGCTTTCAAGACACCAAGGAAATATATTTTCACCATCCCTTATTAGGTGTACTCCATCTTTGGTCAGTAGCCTGTCATTTAAATTTTTCAAACCCTGGTCCAGAAGTCCAAATACCATTCTCATTTGTCACATTCTTAACCATATGTTCTCTTCCCGCATTTCCCTTTCCCTTCCAAAACCTTTGCCTTCAATCAACAGTGATGAAATCATTACCTTTGCCCTGTATTCTTTTTCTTATTCAACACTTTGTGTTCCTCAGCAGTATTTTCTAGAATCCTTCAGGCAGCCACATCTATGCCCACATGACTCATCAAAATGGGTAGAAGTCCTCTGTTAGATGTCATCATGTCCTGAGCATGGACTCTTAGAAGACAATGGGCCTCTTTATGATTATTTTCAGATTAATAAACAATCGAGTCAATATTCCTCAAAAGAGAGTCACCAACAACCTAGCCCTCATCTTCCTCCCTCTGACCCTCAACTGGTCAGTTTCCCACTTGGTATCTCCCAAGTGCCACATCATAATACTTTGGAAAACCAACAACTGTTTCTTCCCCAGAAAGTCTAACTCCCTCCTCTTCAGAAAGAGCTTGAGATATGTTTCTTGCCTCAAAGTTTTTAGTGATCCCTCTTCCTTTTCACTAATACATCACACCCTTCCACCCTCCAAACTGGCAGAATTCAGCAGTGTCCTTTGCCTCTACATCCATCTTCCTCGTTTTTCCATTAAAGTCCTTCTGATTCTGTTTTATTTTGTTTTCAAGGAACATTTTTGTCTCCCTGGTGACCACTGTGAATCTTTACTTTCTCTTCTAGAAGAAGCAGAAGCCTGCTCTTTGGAAACAGATAATGATGCCTCTGCCATAGAGGATATTCACATTGTACAATCAGCACAGGATGGTTAAAAATGGCCCTGCTCTCTACACACAAGAGAAGTGAAGTCCTCAGTCTTTTGGGCTTGATAGGAAATCCAAGCCCTCACAGAGAACTGCCAGTTCAATTTAAAAATCATTAAGTGCCTTCTGAAGTCAAGGCAGGGACAGCTGAGGACAGAAAACACGATCCCTCTCTTCAAGGCTCTGACAGACTGCTGAGCCATACCATATGCACCCCGATAATCAAGAACAATCTAATCTGAGAGGGAGAGAGACCCCTAGGTTTCCCAGAGAAGGCAGGAGACCTGAAGTGAGTCTTCGAGGAAAATAAGGAGCAGTGTTAGCATGGGACATAATGAGTCTTTTATAGACACTTGAGTCGAAGATACTAATGAGCCCTCCAGGCAAAGAGGGGCAGCCGACCTTGGGCTATGCAGAACTGGGGTTCTGCCAGGCCCTTTGGGCTGGCCATTGAGTGGCCATCGAACTGAGCAAGCCAGCAGTGCAGCCTTGAGTAAATGGTGATTCTGCTACAGAGGTATCAAGCACACACCCACAACAGATTCAAATGTAGCTTTTATCCGATTTGAATGGGTTGCTGTGTTAATAACAAAAATTGAACCCATAACTGTATGGTTTTCTAAGTCAATATGTGCCCCACAGAGTTTCTTCTGTACAGTTTAATGGCCTCCATCTCTATCTGAGTTTGACACCACTGCTCTGCAGAACAACTTAAACATGCCCGCATTTGAGAAATTCATTTTGGTCACTTGTAAGATGTAACCAGCATCTTCACAGCAGTAAAATGATAACTTGGGACAAACGAGAGGTTAACTCAAAGGAGAAGTCATACTTTTCTTTGTGAACTAAATTGACCTATTTAAGCAAATTGGTTAAGATAATTTAAATAACTTTTTAATGAGACCACTAGGTGACAGATCTCAGTTTGTTTTGACGATATGGGTAATGTGACTTTATAGAATCTGATTTTCATTCCCTAAAAATTTTAAATGCTTTAAACTGTGTTTGAAATTTCAGTTTATCTTTATTAGAAGAATTTGACTGCAGCTGTAATGAATTGGAGAGCTTACCTTCCACTATTGGCTACCTGCATAGTCTTCGAACATTAGCTGTTGATGAGAATTTTCTCCCAGAACTACCTAGAGAAGTAAGAAATTAACTTCTATGCATTAATTATCAATGTATCTGTTATTTGGTTATGTATGGACATCTTCAGTGTAGATTCATGAGGCATGTGATATAAGTAGAAATCAGTTACAATGTATGTAATTCTGTTTATTTCATGAGACAAGTGACATACAAAAATATGTATAATTATAATATATATTTGGAAAAATTAAAAATTATAAAGCATATTTTCTATATTCACTTATGTCACTACTCATTTAAAATATTCCATTAGAATAATTACACATATGCACATGTCATATTTTTTCTAGATAACACCTAGTTATACCACCATACACAACACAGTGCTCAATTATTCAAAAAATAGAATGTATATCCAGAAGTAAAAAAACTTTTCCCAAGTCAATTAAAATATTACTTAATTAGAAATCAAATCAATAATAAAAAAAATAAAATAATAAAAATTGAAGATATGCTTATATTTCTTGGAATAGGATTCAAAACTAATTCATGTTTTATTTTCCTGGAAAAATTAAGAAATTATTTTTGTGGGTATTGTGCCTATTTCAGACAAAAATTTCTTATTTTGTATGTTTCCTATTTTTAAAGCCATGAGGTTTAAATTTGGTAATACTAGTATTTCAGATTCTCCTAAAAGGTTTACTAATATATTTAAGAAATGTATTTTCCATTTAAGGACTTTTTTTAGAAAACATATTTTCTGTATCTTAATGGAAAATTGAGTTTTAGTGCACATTTAAATTCAACCTCTTTCTTTCAGCCCTTCCTTAATAAAGAACAATAATTAAAACATTTTTTAAATTTCCAGAGCATGAAGTATTAGATTAGAATGGCTCATTTGTGAACAAAATTTTGATTAATTTCTGTAGGAAAATGTATCTGTATACCCCTTTTGTAGTGAAATGAGCTTATGTCATTGCTAACTTTGACAGCTAATGGCAATGTTAAATAAGAAGACCTCATTTTAAATAAATATTTTATTGAAGCTGAGGTCTTGCACTAGATTTAAATCAAAAGACCTGAGTCCAATTCTGGACTCCACCATTCACTAGCTGTGTGACTTTGAGTAAGTTTCCCCTGTAAGATGGAGATACTTATGTCAACAGACTTGTTATAAGGAAAGTGTACTGCAAAATTTTAAAACACCATCTAAATAAGAGATGGCATCATGATGATGATGGTGATGATGATGATGACAATGATTATGGTAATGATGATTATGGTGATCATGATGGTGATGATGATAACAGTGACAATGATGAGACCAATGATGTAGATGACAATGATGATGGTGATGGTGATGGTAATGGTAATGGTGGTGGTGATGATGAGAATAATTATGATGGCAATGACAATGATGATGAACCTAATACATGAATAATCAGGAAAGTGTTGTGTATCTTAAGAAAAGAGCTCTTATACAAGAAGGACATTAGACATGTTTGAGAAATTTCTTGAATCATTTTATATAAACTTTGGTCTTTGATTTGGCTTTTCATTTTTATTTTTGTCTTTTGCTTCTTATTTGTGTCCCCAAGCCTTAGTCCAGGGCCTTGTGCATAGTAAGCATTTAACGAATGCTTGATGATTGATTAGCTTGAAAAGAGGTATCATTGTGTAACATGAGAACAGCCTTTGAAATTAATAGAGATTAAAATAATTTTCTCAAATAAATATATTGAAACCTCTTATCATCTTAAATATTCATATGAAATGTGAATAAGCCAGGATCTGTGATTGTATCAAGAGAGGGAACTCTCTCTTGTAAGAATGCCCTCCAACAGCACACATCCAAGCCATTTTTTCCTTGGTAGATCAGGCAGCTAGGTGGCTCAGTGGATAGAGTGCTGGGCCTGGAGTCAGGAAGATTTGAGTTCAAATCTGGACTTGGACACTCACCAGTGGTGTGACTCCAGGACACACAGCTTAACCTCTGTTTGACTTAATCCACTGGAGAAGGAGATGGCAAAGCACTCCAGGATCGTTGCCCAGAAAACCCCATGGACAGTATTGTCATGATATGGTTCGTGGGGTCACAAAGAGCCTGTCGTGACAGAACAACACAACAACAAGGATCCGTTTTAGGAAATTGCTTGGGACACCCAGAAGTTAAGGGATTTCTCTGGGGTCCAGCAGCTAATAAGTATCAGAAATGGTCTCAGAACCCGGGTCTTCCCAACTCCTTGCCCAGTGCCCTTTCCACTATGCTGTACTGCCTCCATTCAGATGAAAATCATAATCACTCTTGCAGTTCATATGAAAATTGTGACAAGATGAAACTTCTTTGCTTCTTTTGCCTTTTTTTTGTCCACAGATTGGGAGCTGTAAAAATGTCACAGTCATGTCACTGCGTTCCAATAAACTGGAATTTCTTCCTGAAGAGATTGGACAGATGCAGAAATTAAGGGTCTTAAATCTGAGTGACAACAGGTATTTCTGCCATATTGTACATCCCATATCAATCTACCTGTATGAAGAACAGTAATGTTGTATTTTTTCAGTAAGTTTGGATCCATCGTTTGCTTTTTCATGTTGTGAATGTGGACACTAGCAAGCCATTTCACCACCAGTTCTAGTTAGTAAATAAAACCTCAAAGAGGGGTAGACAAGTTACACCATCCTAATTTTATTAAAATTCTGTTCAAATATAGAAATGTCTACATGGAAATGACCCTACTCAAAAGCATCCTACAATTTAGAAAGGGTGAAAATTCTCTCTGTTTCACTATAATAATAAAGTCCACATGGTTTAACAATAAGTAGGAAGTTTGTGTGCACCTGTTACTGACTCTAACAAATTACTTGGCAGTGTAAACATTGGGACTCCCATTAGACTGGTAATGATATCATTAAGATGTCTAATTGCCAGTACATGGTACTCAGAAATTATTCAGTACAGATGATAAAAAAAAATAGAAATGCCGAGAAAAATCTCCACAAAATTCAATGGTGAGGCTTTGTAATCTTAATTATGTTACAATATTTTGTTCTTCTGAGTCTGAAAATCAAACCTTCCTAGAAAATATTTCCTTTAACCAATTTTTATATATATATATAAAATGTATGTATGTATGTATGTATAATATGCCAAGGAGAGTCTTCAAAAATATGAGACTTTCTTCAGAAAATACCAACTATGTTCTTTTTTCAAAAGTTTTAAGTTGAAGTGATTCTTTGAAAACTTGAAATCAATTTATAGAAGATGGAAACATTATAATAAGACATACTCTAAACCGTTTATTATTACCATTGACTTTTACAACGTGGAAGACTGCAGCCAGGAAAGTCAAATTAACACACATGTATTAAGCATTTACTTTGGGTCAGGCCCTGTACCTAAAAGCCCTGGAAATATAAATACAAGCAAAAAGAAAGCCATCCTTAATGTTCCTCAAGGAACATTCCAATTAAGAAAGTCAACACATAAAGGAAACTGAATGGGGCAGAGGAAGGTGAAGCTCCCTGCTTGAGATCATGATGGAGAAAGAAGAAAAAGAGTGAGAAGTAGAGCGCAAAGAGGAACGAAGGAGGGAATGAGCCTGTGCCTGACCTGGGCAATTCACATCATGTCTCTGGGTTCCAGATAGTCTAAATTTGAATTATCTCATGTTATAAGCTAATATGAATGTGGCCTATATAAGGGGCACAATTCATGTTATTTAACAAAACTTGGGTTAGGTTATATAGAAACTTTACACAAAATCCTTATGTCATTTTAAAGCTTTTAATTTTTAATAATTTAATTTATAATTATGATAAAATAATCTACAATAATGAGCAGAAGGTAATTAGTTATGGATTTTACTTGGATATGGAATTCAGTTCTACTTACCATGAGCAACAGTATTCATGAACTAACTCATTCATTCAGAAAATTTTCATTGATCCGCAACTGAGTGTTAGGCTCAGCAAAGGTGACATGGTAGCTACAAAATAAATATGATGGAATCCCTGCCCCAAAGGAGTTTATCAACGAGTAGGCAAAATAAGATCTACACAAATAACTTTCATACATGATAGAAGGTGATGTGTCCAGATAAAATTAAAACTCCAGCCCAGTTCCAACTATGCCACCCCTCTACTCATTAAACCACAATGGCTCCCTGTCACCTCCAGGACCAAATATAAAATTCTCTGTTTGGCATTCAAAGCCCTTCACAACCTACCTCCTCTAGCCCTGACCTCTCCAGGATTCTTACATCTTCCTCTCCACCAATTATTCTTTGATACAGTGATGCTTACCTCCTTGCTTTTCCTCCAACAGAACCCTCCACCTCCCAACTCCAGGCACTTTCTCTGGTTTACCCTCATATGTAAAAGGTTCTCACTCCTCATCTTGCCTCCTGGCTTCCCTGGCTTCCTTCAAGTCCCAGCTAAAATCCAACCTTCTACAAGAAACCTTTCCTTAGCTTTCTTAATCTAACATCTTCCCTTTTTTCGATTACTTCCTATTTATCTTGTATGTCACTAATTTGCATACATCTGTTTGCATGTTGTGTCCCCCAATCAATTGTGAGCTCCTCAAGGACAAATTGAAATTGGCAAAAGAGAATTGATAGATGTTTAGAGAACAAGGAGTCTGTTTTACCTGGGCCCTGGGCTACATGAGAGGTAGTAGTTTAAAATAAGACTAGAAAATTAGGTTGAGGACAAATTGTAGAGAACCTTGAAGGTCAGGCTAATCTGTTTTATTCAAGACAAACTGAGGAGCCATTGAAGGTATTTGAGTAGAGGAATTATATTATTGGAGCCACACATTAGGAAGATAAATTTGGCAGGGAGATATAGGGTAGGTTGGAGGTGGGAGAAACTGAAGGAGGAGACCAGTTTGGAAACTGTGGCAGGTACATTGTCTAGTTATAATGAGAGCATGAGTGAGGGTGATGAGTGCAAATGAAAGGACAGATGGAAGAATGATTTCAAGAAAAGATTAATAGGAGTTGGCAACTGATTAGAAATGAAGAATGAAGGAAAGTGAAAAGGTAGACGTTCTGAAATTTGGAGCCAAGGTGACTGAGACCATGATCCTGCCGCTAACATAATTAGGAAAGTAAGGAGGAGGAGTACATTTTGGAGGAAACATGGAGGGTCTGGGAGATGTTGGGTTTGAGGTTCTACCCAGGTGATAAAAGCAAGTGGTTGGCCATGTGTGTCTGAAAGAATCAGGCTGGGGAGGGGAGAAATGCTGCATTTGGGGGCAGAGGACTTGGGCTTGAGTCCTAGATCTGCCCCATGTGACCAGCTGGACCCTGGACAGATCGCTTGCTCTCTCTGGGTCTTGGTTTCCTTATCTGCAAAATGAGGAGTTTGAACTGAATGACCTGAAGGTCTCTTCAAGCTCTGAAGCTGTGGCCCTATGATAGAGGCGACAATGGGAGCTATGGAAGTGGGGGAGAGTGCCTGGAATGCGCCATAGAAAGGGAAGAGAGCAATTCCTTGGAGAAAATTCATATGAAGTGAACAGATGGAATAAGAGAAAGTTGAAGAGTTCAAAAAGGAGTCAGAGGGAGGAGGATAAAATGTTCACTTTGTCACAGAGGCTGAGGAAGAAAAGACAAAAACTACGACAATCTTTTCTCTCCTCTTATGTTTTAAGCTACATGAGCCATCCCTTTCACCTCTCAGAGTCGGAAGGGACTTCAGAACTGTTGCAACCCAAAAGGAATTTGACCATCAACATTCCCAATAAGCCATCAATCCAGCCTTTTCTTGAAATCCTTGAGTATGGGTAACCCATTGCCTCTCAGGGTAGCCCACTGCAGTTTTTTGTGGCTCTAATTGTTAAGAAATTGCAGAGTTTTTTTTTCCATGACATAAAGCCTAAAGTTGTCACATTGAAACTTCTACTCGTTGCTCCTTGTTCTGACCTCTAGGACCAACTGAACATCTATCCCTTTTCCACATAACCGCTGTTTAAATATGTGAACGAGACAGCTCTCATTGTATCATTGTAGCTCTCCCTGTATCTTCTGTTTTAATAGGATATCAGATTTAGAAATGGAGGGGACCTTAGAGGTCTGGCCCACTATGTTTCAGACTTAACATTCCCAATTCCTTCAACTAACCTTCATGGGACATGGACTCAAGGCTCTTCATCATCATCCTGCTTGGCCTCCTCTGTACACTCTCCAGCCAATTGGCATCCTTAAACTATGGCACCCAGAATTGAACAAAACACTCTGGATATGGTCTGACTAGGGAAGAATGCAGAAGTAGTATCATTTCCTTGTTCCTGGAAGCTATGCCACACTTAATGCAATGCCAAAATGCGTTATCTTTTTTTTTGGCTGCCTGGTAAATCATGCTGAGCTTGCACTCCACCATTGTGTCCAGAGAAGCAGCGTCCCCACTGTGCGCTGTCCTGGTCAGACTCCATCTGGCGTGGTGTGTTCAGTTATAAGTACTGCATTTTAGCAAGGACACTCTGAAGCTTGAGAGCATCCAGAGAAAGGCAATCTAGATTGTGAAAGGCATGGAGAGCATGCCATGTGAAGAACAGTGGGACTGGGGACATCGAGCCTGAAGAGGAAAAAAAGCAGAGCAGATATTTGAAGGATTGTCATGTAGAAGGAACATGAAGTTTGTTTTATTTGGCTGCAGAGGTTTAGAACAGCAATGGAGAGTGGATGAGACAGGAATACAATGAATCCCAATGTGGGGCAATATGGTTAGATAATATAAACTTGTAACTGATCCGATGAGCATCGTTCTGGGAGTAGAAATGGGGGAAAATGGATGATGAGGACTACCTTGGGCTAGAGATTGACAATGTAGGTTTGGCATCAAATCAAAGAGACCTGCTAACCTGTGCTGGGACATGGTGAAAATGCCAAATTCAATGGGGAGAGACCTAAAAAAAAGACCAAGAATTCAATGAATGACTCGATAAGAATATAATGAAGCCAAAACAATTTTATTTTTTCCTGCTGCCACCTCAGAACCTGCTGTCCTCAGCAACTCATTCAGCAAATGCTTATTGCATGTTTTGCATAAATGCCAGTGTCCCTGTGGCCCCAAACCATAAGAGACACTAAAGGAGAACCAAGTAGAGTAAAATAACCCAAAGGAAAGCAGAGACCATATTGGGAATGATGATACAAGCTTGTGGAAAGCCACCTTCCTAAAGGCAGAGAGGGAGCCTACTTAGACTATACAATAGACACCTACCTAGAAGGTATGACATATCAGAGATTTCTGAACAGCCTATTACTTGTATTTAAAGGTAACTCTACAAATTACATGAATTCCTAAAAATAAGTCCCCGATGCTCTCCATGTGGGTATTTTCACCCTCTTGACAAACATTAATTAACTCCAAGAAGTGAAATCGAAGACTCTGCTAAGCTCAAATTACTTCGATTTTGTTGGATGCAATATGAAATTCCTCCTAGTCTCACTGGCATTCCTGCTCTCCTGAAGAGAAAAGAGCAGGAAATGAGCAGCTACATGTTTCCTGGAAGACAAAAGAGTACCAAAAGAACTGAAATATATTTAGTCATATAGATTATCTCTGAATTTAGAAAGCAGTCTTCAGAAAAAGGTTTACAAGTTAATTCAGTGTAACGTGTACAAAGACCTTTACCGCCCTCTTAGTATATGAGAAGTTTCCTGAGACACGGAGAGCAAGAGTGAATTGAAGCTTGCTTAGTGCTCTTATTTCACTGTGGTGGTTACTGTACTACCAGAGACTATTTTTATTAATATTTCGTTTTTAAATTTGAAAACAATTCTTTAAACACAACTTGGTTTTTGTTTTTCTTTTATAATGATATGACATATCAAGCTAAGGCTATGAAAAATGTTGTTCTGGTTGTTCAGTCATTTTCAGTCACACCCAACTCTCCGTGACCCCATTTGGGGTTTTCTTGGCAAAGATACTGGGGTGGTTTGCCATTTCCTCCTCATTTTACAGATGAGGAAACTGAGGCAAACAGCATTAGGTGACTTAGACAGGTTCACACAGCTAGGAAGTGACCGTGGCCAGATTTGACCTCGAGAAGATCAATCTTCCTAAGTCCGGGCCCCCCCCTCTTATCTAATTTGCTACCTTGCTGATCCTTATGAAAAATGGCACTAGCTTTTTTCCCCCCAGAGATAGATAGTTATTGAAGTTATACAACTGAGGTTAGATTTCCATGAAAACTCAATAAATATGATCTTGAGGTAGTTATCTCTTCTTATGAGATCTAATTATGAAATTGTAGACCCATAATTTCACTTTTCAAATTAACATTCAAACAACTGAACCAAATCTCTCAAGGATAGCTATTCACATTTAGCATTAAAACTCAATGAATTCAAAAGGAAGATATCTATATTATTAACAAAAGAGTGTTACCGTCCGAAGCCTATTAGCCAACACAATGAAAAATAATAATATAATGAAGGCTAAAATAATATCTTTACCAAATAAGCATCTTGGCAGCACAATGAGATCTAGAACCAAGGAGGTGTGAGTTCAAATATATCTTTGGACACTTACTGCCTGTATGACCATGGGCAAATCACTTAGCCTTTGCCTCAGCTTCCTCATCTGTGAAAAGGAAATAATAACAATGCCCTCCTCCCAGGGACTTTGTGAGGATAAAATGAGATAATATTTGTAAAGCACTTTGCAAACATAAAGCGCTACATAAATGCTAATGATTATTATTACCAAATATAACTTTTACTGTACATACAAAAATGTCGGCATTTGAAGGTAGTTTTCAATGCTACTTTCTTAAGTCACAAGATTCAACTGCATTCCCATTACTTCAGACATGGAAAAGAAATTCATATGTAATAGCAAAGGAGAGATAAAAGCTGATGAGACGACAAAGCACAGTTTCTCAAACACAAGTTGTCCAGCTTGAGATGACCAAGAATCTTCCTAGAATTTTATATCCATTACTCTTCAATAATTTATAGTATTCTGAGGGGCAGCTAGATGGCGCAGTGGATAGAGCACAGGCCCTGAAGTCAGAAGGACCCAAGTTCAAATCCAGCCTCAGACCAAACACTTGACACTTACTAGCTGTGTGACCCTGGGCAAGTCACTTAACCCCAATTGCCTTTAAAAAATATATATAATTTATAGTATTCTGTATTGAGCTGTTGTTGTTGTTGTTCAGTTGTTTTTAGTCATGTCCATTTGGGGTTTTCTTGGCAAAGACACTGTGGTCATTTGCCAATTCCTTTTCCAGTTCATTTTACAGATGAGGAAACTGAGGCAGAGTTAAATGACTTGCCCAGAGTCACATAGCTAGTAAGTATTTGAGGCCAAATTTGAACTCAAGAAGATGAGTCTTCCTGACTCCAGTCCTAGTGCTCTAGCCACTGCACCACCTTGCTACCCATGTTCATGTGCTGACATTTTTCATTGTATGATTCTAGTCAAGTCACTTCACTTCTTGGTTTGTGTTTCTTCATCTTTAAAATAATGGGATTGGACTGGATGATCTCTAATAAGTCCTGTAACCCTCCATGCATACCCATAGTGTTGAACAAGCTCACAAAGTTAGCTGATGATAGAGCCAAGACCAAGGCCCAGGTCCCCAGGTTCCCAGGCCAGTATCCTCTCTATCACATTGGGATGACTGAGTTGAACGTGACCTGCTAGAATTCAAGCTTTTCAGTAGTAATCGTAGAATCTAGATATTTAAAATATGCTCTCATAAAGTAAAAGGTGATCGTATCCATAATTCATCCATAATGCTAAAATATTGTTTTATTTGCAGGCTGAAGAATTTGCCATTCTCATTTACCAAACTGAAAGAGCTTGCTGCTTTGTGGCTTTCCGACAATCAAGTAAGGACTTTTAAGAATTACCTCCTTATAATCCAAAGATTAACATGTCATCAAAATATGAGTGAACTTTGATATTTTTTACTATTAGTAAAACCAGATATATGTTATAATTTATGTTTGAAGGGAAAGTGAAATCATGAGTAGTATTTAAAATGTGCATTAAGTAGATAAAATTCTACTTGATGAGCTCCATTGAGCCCTACTTTAGCACATCATCATGACATGTCAGAAGACCCAGATTCGCCAAGGTTGTGTCAGCATAGCCCCAGCCCTGGAAGATTTCACCATGAAGAAAAAGCTCAGTACTATCCTAACAACTGATCTTGTCTGCTTCCCAAGGACAAGCTTAGCTAGGCCCAAAAAGTCTTGTCACCAGGGGCCTGACCACTTGTGATAAGTTCTTGGGTGAGGGCCACCCATCAAACAAACAAACAAACAAAAAACACGACAAACATCAATTTGTTCCAGAGGACATATGACTAGAAGTGAATCTTATCAATTCTGACATTATCACTATAAACAAAACCAGAAAATACAGAGAAATGTCAGGTAAGTAGAAGGAGTACTCATTGGTTCTCCTTGCAAAGACAAAGAAAGGAAGTGAGAATTGTATCAAAAGGAAACAGAAGCTATAATCTTATGGAATATGTTGTCACGGTGCATGATACTATTCACAAAAAGCATTTGCAAACAGACCACCATGAAAATAATCATAACTTCTCCACAACATCGACTGAAGAGGATGAGGTAGAGAGATTGTATGAGACCCTTCAAATTAAATGAATATGTACTAGATGTGTGTGTATTACATACTTAATACTTGCTGACATAAACATAAAGCTTGGCATATGAGAGTACAATGACAAATATGGTAGAAAATAGGGTTTAGGAACAAGAAATGGGAGGTCAAAACCTTGTAAACTCTAAGGAAATCTCATGCAAATCTATTATGGAAACTTTCATCAAGGCGTCAGGCCATAATAAGTACCAAATAGCATCACACACATTAAATTGATATTTCAACATTGGTAGATTTCAGCATATAAGAAACAATCGGTTACTCACGTGAACGTCATTTATAAATCAGCTGTTGTGTGTACACTCAGACCAACCACCTAATAGAGCAAAGAATGAAATCAATACAACTCTTGGGGAAAATAGCTCATCTTATTGTTAGTGAAAAATTTGGTGAAAGAAATATTACTACTGGCTGACTCATCCCTGCAAATCTTTATGAGAATAATCTACACATACATTAAGGACATACTTGGTGAATTTTTGCAAAGGGAATAGGCAGGCTTTTGTCAACAGTGATCTAAAGCTAACTATTTTTTTTCAATAATCACACAGTTGACTAAAACATGGAGACTGTCTAATTTCACTGCGCTTCTGTTGTCACTATCAACAAAAAAAAGCATTTGATCAGTAGAGCAAAAGGTCCATGTAAAGGTCTGCATTAAGCATGATATCATCCATGTATGTCACAATCATACAATATTAGGAAAAATATACCCCTGAGATAACTTTGTTCAACATTCCTCAGATTATTAACAGGAAATAAGACACCAAATAGGAGATGTATTCTCACCAAGGCTGCTTGCCACCGTCATAGAGGATGGCAGAGAGGATAAATGGGATATTTGTAAAGTATTTTGCAAATGTTACGATGCCACACAAATGCTAACTATTATTGTTATATTATTAGCATTATCATTACTGTGGCTAGCACAGAGTCCAAACTGAAGAGAGATTCTCTATAGATGATGAGGTCTTCCAGGTACCCTTCTTGGTGGATGACATTGTATTCATTGCCTCAAGCCCTAAACCCTACCGAACTGACTTGAGGAGATCCATGTTCACTCAGAAGATCATGACCTAACCGTTCACCAGAAAAAAACCATGTGGATGAAAAGCGGCTCTTATTCAGATGCGGACATTCAGTGAGTTGGGTAACCCATATGGCTGCTCTGACAACACCTGTATCTTGGACAGTCACTAAGGGTGAACAACGGTCTGCCCTCAGAATCTAACAGCAGCCGAAGAGAAGGATGGATTTGCTTTTACAAATGTATGCCATATTTTAAATGACCTCAAACTTCTTCCAGAAACAACAGCTCATCTTTTTAATATTAGCATGCATCCAGTGACACAATGTGATTGCAGGTCTCTCAAGAATTAGCATTATCATTTTCCCAAAGGGCCAAATGTGAGAGTCATTATAGTCATTAGTAGACTGCAACATTTTGCCCCTGGAAGATTGCACCAGGAGAATGGTGTAAGGCCAGGGTGGAGAACCTGAGACCTCAAGGCTACCTGTGGCCGCACTTGAGGACCTAGAGGGCCCCATGTGGTCTCAAGGCCACAGGTTCCCCAAAGGATGTGATCAGACAGAAGTACAACTTGAAGAGGGGATGATGGGTCAGTCAAGTAGCAAGGGCCAGGAAGAGTCAAAGTACTGCCCGTGTGCTTCCAGGACATCAGCACAATGAAGGCAGCCTGGGAGAGTAGTCTGGGAGTCAGGATAACCAGAAAAATGAACGAGTGAGCCTAACATGGCAGACAAAGGAGACTGCATAGATATTACCAAAACTTGGTAGGATGAGACATGGGGACTATGGCTCTGAATGAATCTACTTTGCTCAGAAGAAGCTTGATAGATAAAGGAAGAAAAGGTGGATTTAAAATCCTGGACATGTCCCAGGACAAGACAGGAAGTAGAGCTAGCCGGTGGAGACACCTGAATGAAGGTTAGTAGAAGCAGAGAAATGTGTCCGGTACACTGCAGATTCCTTGGCAGAAAAAGGAGAGAAACGGGAAGCTGGGCACAGATCTCACCCTGGCAGAGCGGCACGCTATCGGAGTGGCAGCTAAATAGCAGAGTAGTTGAGGCAGCCCACAGAGTGGTAGGCCTGAAGTCGGGAGGACCCGAGTTCAAATTCAGCCTCAGACACTTTACTAGCTATACGATCCTGGGCAAGTCACTAAACCTCTGCCTGTCTCAGATTCCTCATCTATAAAATGAAAATAATAAAAGCACCTACTTCACAGGATTATTGTGAAGATCAAATTAGATATTTGTAAAGTGCTTAGTAGAATGAGTGCCTGGTTTATGCTATATAAATACTAGCTATTATTATTATTGTTATTAGTGATGGAGGAGCTTCAGTTAGGACATCCTTTGGAGTTCTCCCTGTGTGTGTGTGTGTGTGTGTGTGTGTGTGTGAAAAACAGAAATGCCAATAATTCCTTGACTTGTTTTAAAGATAATTTCATCCTTCAAAATTTGAAGAATCTGAAAAGGAGAAATCCATTCTGATCTGACCCTCACTAACAAGGAGAAATGGGTGATAGGGGTGTAATTACAGGACTGGGTAAGGGGAAGTAAAGGGAGATGCAAAGTGACCATGCCATCCTAGGATCTGTGATATAGGAGATGAAATCTGGAGATAATCTGGCATGCACCTTAGGTTTTAGGAGAATAGATTCCAAAGAGTTAAGAAAAAGGATAGATATTTTGGATTTAAAGGCAACAGAGGGTCAACTCAATGGTGATAGAAAATTAACAATAAAATCCTGAAAGACATAATTCTGATGAGGAGGAAAAGGCAAAGTTATGTAAAAAGGTTTCTATGGGTGCACAGAGAACTCATCAAGAAACCTATGGGATACCCATTTTTCTATGTGAACCCTCTAGAAAAGATAGTCTTGGTTCTAGGTACAATTTGGCTTAGTGCCCACTTAAAACCACACCTAAAGAGCTCACACCAATGTGTACACTTTGACTAGCCACCCAGAGGCTGTTATATCCAATAATAAATGTACCTTTGATCCTATACCCTCCCATCTTGTCTAGCAAATCCCCCCATCACCTCCTAATCACTAATCTTTCTCTATTTAATGGTTCCTTCCCTAAAGCCTTCAAACGTGCCCAATTCTGCACTGTCCTTGAAACATAACTTTCCTGGGCTCTATCGTCACATCAAACCACATTCCGCCCCTCTCCTTCCTTTCTGAAACTTCGAGGGAGAAAAAACTATCTACTCTTGTTGCCTCTACTTCCTCCCCCTCATCGTTCAACTGCAATTGCCCTCTCCGAGGTTTTCAATGACCTCTTAACTGTAAGCGTGTTGGGCTTTTCTGAGTCTTTATCCTCCTTGACCCATCTGTGTTTGACATTGTTGTTCACCTCTCTTCCTAGAGACTTTCTCCTTTTTGGTTTATGATCCATGCCACGCTTCTTACCCATGAGTGTTCCCCAAGGTCCCTCTCTATACTCTCACTTGATGGCATCATTAACATCCATAGGTTTAATTATCACCTCTATTCACATGACATTAGATCTATAAATCTAGCCCTAATCATTTCCCTGACCTTCAGTCCTGCACATTAGCATTAAAGACAGAGCTAGAAAGAGCCATAAAGACCATCTAAACCCACTATCTCCTTCATAGATGGAGAACTGAGTCCTAGAATGGTTTAATGAGCTGCCCAAGGTTACACCTCCAACTACCTGCTCCTCTGTTTCCATTCCCTTCAACCTAATCCCCCAAATATCTCACTCAGAAGACACCCACCCCTTCCACTGTGCTTTTGTGAATGTCTGCTCCATAGGTAACAAACTCCCTTTCATTGTAAATTTTTTCCTTTCTCCCACTTCCATCTTCTGGCTTTCACTGAGAACTGGCTCCCTGCCAATGACACAGCCTCCTGCCTGCCCTTGCCAGCACTGGTTACACTTGAACTGATCTCGCCCAACTCACTGGCAGAGGTGGGGTAGCTGGAATATGCTTTGTGCCCCTCTTCGGCTTCCAGTCTCTCTCTATCACCCTCACTCATGTGATGTTCGTGTGGATTATTTGTGCCTGACCTGTGGTAGAGTCTTCTGAGCTCATATTAATCTGATCAGCCACAGTCAGACTCACTGTACTTTGACTCCAACATAGTGAAGTCATGTTGGACCTCTGCGAGAACAAAGGACAACAACAAACCAACCAACCACA